GCAAAAAGAAAAAGAAATCTCTCCCTGCTTCATTTTGTCATGTTGCAGCAAAGACTCTGCTTTACTTTCAGTTTCATTTTTTCAGCATAGCTAAGGGAAAAAAAATCTGCTCCAGCAATCTTTGCAGAGCCCTGCACAAAACAGCTGAGAGCAAATCAGCTGAGAGTCGGGAGGCCGATCTAATCAACTTGTGGTAATTAACCTATGCTGAAGCTGAAAGGGGCTGTTTTTTCTATTTTTGCAGGCACCGGTCTACTCATTTGTTTTCTTTTATCGCTGATCAGCTGTAGGGCGGCCCTTTGAAGCCCCGTGGCAAAAGTTTAAACAGTTTTTTTCCCTCTAGCCATCAGCTGGGACTCAGGAGGCAGCGATTGGGAGTGAGCGGGGTAAGCGAACGGCGACCGGGCCGGGAACCGGTTCGGGGGTGTGGCCAGCCAATCTTATTACCGGTTCTCCGAACTATTAACTTTTTTTACTACCGGTTCTTGCGATCCGGTGCGAACCGGGAGCAACCCACCACTGCTATACTGGACCAGTTGCTAGGTGTTTGAGTTCCTGGACTTTTGGTGACAATTGGGCTACAGAACTCGGGACTGTTGGCTGAGTAACAAGAGCCAGCAGCTGCAGAATTACTGGAAGAAAAGTTGCTTGCCCATGGCAAATATTCAAAGACCAAAAACAAACAAATAATGATTTGTTATTGCAAATCAGACCAAAGAGAAGAGAATATTTGAAAAGAATGCACCAGTTCTGGAAAGAAAAACATCCAGAAACAGAAATAATAGAACAGAGATTAATAGGTCAACCCTGATTTATAATATGAAATAAAGTATTCAGAGGAGTAGAATTGGAAGAGCTGCAAATGTCTACCCAGGGCAAAGAAATCAAAGCTTTGCCAAAAGTAGTTTAGACAGTAGAGACAGGCCAGTGGGGAGGTGATAGTAAAGCCAGCATCACTATTGAACTGTATTTTCATTTGCAAACCAGGCATCCTTTCCTCCGCCTTCTCCTCAGAAAAAACAAAGTCATCTAACTGGAAAAGAAGAATAGGAAATGAAAAATAACTGAGCATCTAGAACAGCAGGAAAAACAACAACAGAATAATGTTGCATGCATTGAAATTTGTTAAAAGCACAGCTTAAGTATTAAAAGATGCCAATACTATATAAGCATTACCAAACTGCAAGAAACAGAATAACTGATGGGCAGTTTAGCTACCGTTATAACTGAAGATCTTGGATGCAAAATGCACAAAGAAGAAAAAAGGCCAATATTAAAATGGAAGATCAGGTTGGAAAATAAGATCATGAAGCAACATCAGATGCAAGCAAGCTAGAACAGAAGTGAAAGCAAAAAAAAGATGAAGAACAAGACCAAGTAACACCTGATCAAGAAATATCTTCTAGAGACAAACCAAGGAAGCACTGGAAATAATAAAGTAACAAATAACAGCCATAGCCAAAAAAATCAACAGGAATGAAACTCAAATTGCACACTACAGGCAGAATTTTCAATTGCAGTTAAAATAAAAATATTTCTACCAATCCATCAATGGAAAGACTATAATGAGCCAGCCAACACCTTACAAAGAATAGATAGGCAGATCTGAGCACAGTTATGGGATGACCCAAAGAAATACAACATGAATGCAGTTTGAATAAAGGAGGTGAAAAGGGAGGGAGGGGTGAAGCTGAAATGAAAGAACTTGTAATAACAGCAGAAATGACGAAGAAAGGGGCAAGGAAAATCAAGGTCTGGTCAGCACCAGTTGAAGATGAACTGCATTTATGTACAATAACTGCTCTGCGCCCACTCATTGCCAAGCAGTTTAACAGGCAACTACAGGTCAATTACCTGGTTATCTGTAACTTTCAGATTATTAATTGGTTTGATAGCTGATGCATCTAATTGAAAATAAACTCTTTCCATTTGACCAGTAAGGAAACTATGCCAACAGTAGCGGAACAAAAGATCAGTTCCTAATGATTTTGGAAAACTGTAAGAAAAAGAAGATCAACTTTAATATAACTTCAATTGTGATTACAAGAAGGCTTCCCTGTGTCCCTTTGGCTCCCTTTTCACATGACTGGATAATTAAGTGCCTGAAAATAATAAGAATCAGTAGAAACATAAGAAGCTTTGCACAAAGATCAGTGGTACAATGCAAGGCACGGTTGCTAGACGGTAGTGAAAAACCAGTTGAGATTAACATTGAGAGAGGAATCTTTCAAGTAGATTCACTATGATTACTACTGTTGATTTCTCTTATCAACAGCATTGAACAAGTTAGGCCATGGCTATCAAACATCAAAAACATCTGCCAGGCTTTCTTCTTTAGATGGACAATCTGAATCTGTATGGAAAAACACCATCTGAAATAGAATCGTTGCTCAACACTGCCCGTATAGTCAGACAGAACATTACAGTGGAGTTTGGCCTGGATAAATATACCACCTTCACCATCAGCAAGGAGAAAAATAATGACAACTGAAGGAATCAAGATGACATATTGAAATAACATCAAGAATCTGGATGAAGATGATCATTATGAATATCTGAGCATCCTTCAAACTGACAACAGCAAGCACACTAAAGTCAAGAAGAAGGTTAGTAATAAATACATCATGAGAGCAAAGATCTTAAGATCCAAACTCAGTGGCACATATGCCATCAAGGTGATTAACACCCAGGTAATCCCAGACATTAGATACGGTGGAAATACTGAACTGGACTCAAGCAGACTTAGAAGCCCTGAATAAGAAAACAAGAAAAAAATAACAATAATTTATGCCCTTCATCCATGCAATGATTTTGACAAAACTCAATTTACCAAGACGCATAGGTGGGCATGGAAGAAGAAAAAGGGACATTGGAAGAATATTTGAAGGTCAGTGAAAAAGATTCACTTGAAGCTAGTATACAATGAAGGCTTACTGAATACCAGAGAAATTAAATTGACCATTACATAAAAACAAAGCAAATAAAGGCAAAGCAGATAGGAACAAGATCTGGCAATGGCTAAAAGCTGGAAAATTGAAGAAAGGGGCTAATTATGGTATCACAAAAACAAGCCGTAAGAACAAATGCATATAAAGCCACAATTGAGAAGACAACAACAGATAGCAAAGAAGCTGAAGAAACAATGAGCCATGTAGTTAGCTGCTGTAATAAGATTGCACAGATTGATTGTAAACAATAACATAAGAAAATAAGCAACAATGGTTTATTGGAATATCTGCAAGAAAGACCACTTGACTGCAAGCATGAACTGGTGGAGCCACAAATAGAGTAATAGAGAACGAAAAATAAAAAAATGGTCTGGACTTTAACATTCAAACAGATAAGCATCTGCTACACAACACTCCTGACATAACATTTGTTGATAAGAAAGGACAAGAAAGTCTGGATAATGGATGTGGCAATATCTGGAGACAGCAGAATAGAAGAGAAATAACTGTAGAAAATTATGAAAAGACCTGCAAGTAGAAGTAGAATGACTGTGGCAAAAAGGAAGAGATAGTACCAATAGTAATAGGTGCCTTGGGTGCTACTCTAAAACAGCTGGAGCACTACTTGAACACCACCAGTCAATTGCAAAAGGCAGCTTTACTTAACAATAGCTTACATCCTGCAGTGATACCTTTAATATTATTAATCTGTCTACCCCAGGTAATTAGGAAATCTAAACATCTGGCTGATTGTACAACCAAACATAATAATAAAAACATACCACAAAGAGCAGTGATAAACTATTTCCACATTGTTGCCAAAAAAATTAGATGGATGTCTCCATAGTCTACTTAAGGAAGATTTTCTTATAAATTATAGCAAACTAAAAATAACTTTGTAAAATATAGGCAATGTTGCTTTAAAAACTATGTTTTTGTGTTTAATGTTTTAAACTGTTTTAAATTAATTTACCATTATTACAGAAACTTGATTTTATAAATAGGAAATGAAGGCAATTTTTGTTAGCCAGCTATCCTAAAGCAAGATCCTGTAATTTAAATTTAAATGGATTAAATGACTGTCAGGATTAGTAATAGAAAACAGACCTGAAGTGGCTCTCACTATAATCAAAGGAACTAATTCTTTTCCATAGTAACAATTTGAGTTCATTATCAATTGCCATTAATATAGAAATATTGCTCTTGAAAAATCCCATCTCAATGCAAAGATAAATCCTTCAGCTAAATAGGATAAAAGAATTCTGTTTTAGATATGTTTCTTTTCCCAAGTCCAGCTATTACTTTTCCCCTGACTCCATTTTATTTTGTTTTCCTCTTTGCTCTGTAAAGGTTGTGTCCTTTCCTGTTCTTGTTGACAAGTTAACCCTCCCCTCTCTGTGTAGATTGTCCAGGCAGCAAACTGACAAGAGTCAGGGTGAGTAGGAAAAAGGAAGCGTTGGGTATGAACCATAGTCTTTTACATTCTCCGAAGCAAGCAGGCCATTGGCTGAATTGGGCTGGGCACCCACGTGATTGGAATGTGGCTGTATTGGCTCTAACTGTAGCGCAGTCATTGAATACAGGAGGCTACTGGATATTATAGACTGAATGGAGGTGCAGTCAGCATCGGAGATGGGGTAGGTGTACATTGGCATTGTGCTCCTAATAGAAACTAGCATTTCTATCTCTGGCAATGGGCTGATCCATGTATTTGTATTGACAAATATTAGAGAGGGCAGCCTCCTCATTTTGACTTTTACAGAAATATACGAGAGAGAGAGAGATTCTTAGCATTATAATCCATGTTTTTGACAGGCTGGAAGAAGGTAGTAATGGTGCACTTAGAAGGCAGTTGAAAAAAAAAGATGTCTTTATCGGGAACAAAAGATTGTTTTAAAGGTTTGACATAAAAAACGGGAAAATGGTATCTTAGGAGACGGATAAAGGGCAACAAAGAATGAAATGGATTCATTGCTTAGAGGAATGAGAACTGAGCCCATTGAAATCCTCTGGTTCTCATTCTCCTCCTCCTCCTCCTCCCTCCTGTCACAGAAGCAGCCGCCAGAGAAAAAGACACAAAGCCACACAGGAGATGCCTTGATGTGAATCTAACAGCCCTGCAAAATAGAGGCTGTAGGGGAAGATGAGGCAAGTATTATAGAAAGCGAATTATTTTAGCTTTGAAATATTTGATTTGACATTGGGAAGCCAGGAAGATTCTGTACTGAAAATGGTGCAAAATCATATGCCTTTGTTACTGACATGATGTGTAAGTGGCACTTCCGCGGTTTGCTGCAGCAGCTTTTGCTTCCTTACTAAAAAGAAAAAGCTACCTAGAGACAAGAATGTTTCCTGCATTGCTGCAATCAGGAATGTAATAAAGGAGTTGCCACCTGAAAAAAAGCAATTGCTGAAATAGAAAATAAAGATGAATATTGGTCTCTTCATTTTCTTTCCTCAGCCTAAGCTATCTGACTTATATTCATCATCAAAAAGATTCTGAGAGTTATTCAGTCTTGGATAATATTAATAATAAATAGCAAATGAGATGTTTTTTCTTTTTTTCTTGTCATATAGTTTTTTAATGTAATAATTAGGTCATCTTAGCTATTTCGGTATGGATGAAAAATGAAGGATTTTTCAGTATCAGCAGAATTATAAATCGTAAAGCAATGCAATGTTTTAAAGTAAATGGATAAATCGAAAATAATATTTGGTAACATAAGCAGTAGATAGCATTTTAGAGGACATTTGCTGCTATTGTGGGAAGAGGTGGGTAATCCCAATTATTCTTTAAAATCCGTTATCTACCCTAAATTTAGAAATGCTAATTTTTTTCTACATGTGTATGATTTTATTTTCCTGATAATTTTTATAATATTAGTTACAAATATTAATTGCATTCATGAGGATTGTCTAATTTTAATTATGACAACCAATATTCCTTATTTTAAAAGAATGGGGAGGAAGACTTAACTATAGTTAGGGCAGCCCAGTTGAAATCCATGAGGCTTCAGTCATGAACTGAATAAATGGAATCCCATTGATTTCAACTGATCTTTAATCTTGAATCTCACCTAATTTGTTTTCAGAAAGTGTGAACATTGACATTCTTTCAAGATAATTAGTTATGATTTTAATAATTATAGCAAAGGGTATAAAATATAACCTATTTAAATAACTGAACAAGACTAAATAACAGTGCTATGTATATCATCTGATACTGAAGTTCCATTGAACTCGATGTTATTTTTTTCTTGCTTAACATGTAGACGTTTGCACTTGGTATCTATATGAAAAGTATTGTATGAATACTTTTGTATGAAATGTATTTTAGTATATGTAATTTTAACCATTCAGACTTAAAGATATACATATTACTATATAAATTGGTAGCAGTCCCAAAAGACTAACAAATAATAAATACGGCACTTAGTAGTGGTAGATGAAGGGAAAATAATCTACCCATAAAGGAGAATATTTGTAGTTTAGGGTTGAAATGAAGGGTCCTTGGTACTCTCTGAGCTTGATGGTTTTCTTGCAGACGTTTCATTATCCAAAATAGGTAACATCAGTGCAACTGAATAATCTAGGAAATAATCTGCTTGATTTTGTGGGTGTGAACAGAAAGATACATCCTATTAGCATGATATATACCGTAGCACAAAACTGGTTGGGTGCCCTTGTTGCTAATCCTTTATGTGCAAGGAAAATGCAGAGAGAGATGGGAATCTCAGGTTTCAGAATCAGAATAGAGCTGGAAGGTACCTTGGAGGTCTTCTAGTCCAACTCTCTGCTCAATCAGGAGATCCTATGACCTATGCCATTTCAGAAAAGTGACTGTCCAGTCTCTTCTTAAAAATCTCCTGTGATGAAGCAGCCACAACGTCTGAAGGCAAGTTGTTCCACTGGTTAATTGTCCTCACTGTTACGAAGTTTGTCCACAATTCCACGTTGCTTCTCTCCTAGATTAGTTTCCATCCATTGTTTCTTGTCCTGCCCTCTCTGATGCTTTGGAAAATAAATTGACCCCTCCTCTTTGTGGCAGCCTCTCAAATACTGGAATACTGCTATCATGTCCCCCTAATCCTTCTTTTCTCTATACTAACCAAACCTAAATCCTGTAACTGTTCTTCATATGTTTTAGTCTCCAGGCCTTTAATCATCTTAGTTGCTCTTCTTTGCACTTTTCCCAAAGTCTTAATATCTTTTTTGTAATGTGGTGACCAAAACAGATAGCAGTATTCCAGGTGTGATCTTACTGAGGCTGTATAAAGCGTTTCTAATAATAATGGCATTGAACTGTTGTCACCTGTCGGTCAGAGAAACTACTGTTACTAATTTGGGCTGACATTTTAAATCCCAACCTCACTGACTTTTATGAAAACCTTTATGCTTGGTGAATGGGGAAAATGCAACTCTCCTGACCTCTTAATTGGACTGAATTTATATTGTATTATATGTTGTGAAAACTATAATCAATAATATATACCGTAACCACCAAATTGCAGTGAGGAAGACAAAACCTAATCCATACAATGCAAATGACAAATAATGTTTCCTAATCCTAAACTTTGGAAGCCCATGAAGTGCTAGCATGGAATACACATGCAGAACAGCAGAATGATTGACAACATGTTGAATAGCCCTAGAGCAGGAGTGCTGAAATTCTAGTAAAGTGCTTTCTGGTGCAGTCATTGCCTCTATTCCCCAGGCTTGTTTGCTGCTTCCGGTTAAAGTGCATTCAACCCCTTGTCCCTAATATTCTGCCCTTTGTTAGTACTCTTTCCATTACTCTTTCCATCACTCTCCCCCTCTTCCTACTTGGAGTCCCTTCTATCATTTCTTTAATTTCCTGATATCACTGCTTCCTCCACTTCTGTCTTCTAGGCCTACTCAGTTTACTTGTTGCCTGGATGCTCTTCCATTTTTGGCAATGCATTTTCTCCTTTGTTGCTGCACACTTTTTCTTATTTTTAATCCATTGCTTCCTGCTACCTCTGATTCTCTTTTGTATGTGTGCGTTTACATCCATTTTCTTTTCCACTTCGTTTCTCCTCCACTTTGTTAATCCTTGCATTTGATTTCTTTCTTCAGATTCCTTTCTTGCCTCCTCTCAATTCACTCTGCTGCTTCTCCTATCCTGTTCTCCTATTTCAATATTTTTTCTGATTTTTTCTGGGTTTTCCCCCCGGTCCTTCTGCCAGTTTTTGCTTGGTCTATAACAATGAAATAACTGCAGCTTTTTTCATCATCAGAAGATGGAGTTGTGAAACTGAATTTCAGTGTCATAGCACCCCCTATTAGTAAAAAATATATATCTACAGTATTTGTTACAGTACTTGTTAAAATAAAAATAAGGAAAAACAATAATTTAATAAAATACTAGAAATTACTGTCCCATCTATTTTTTTAATACAATTGTTAGCATGCTGTAAAAGAGCCCTTATAATGATCAAAGGCATGTTTCTTTGCCTTGGAAAAGTCATGCGGTCTTTCCTGAGGTATCTGTTTCAACCTTATTTGTCTTATATAGGAGCTAATTGGGAAACCATTTCAAAGCTGGAATTCTGTATTAGAAGAGCATTTGGCTCAGAACACTCATTTGAACAAATCATAGTGTAGTTCGTTCATGGCTTATTACAATGGGGAATCAGACAGTGAATAATATATTATGGCTTGTTTTTAGGATAGTAAACCAAAGTCTAAAACATTTTGTTTGGTTCATTGTACTTGTGGTTTAATGTTCTGTACAGGCAGTACATATATAGTCATTGTAAGATGGGTTGTCAGAGGAATCATTTATATCATCGGGATACAAAGTATCTAAATTATAAACATATAAATATTTGTACTGCTGTTTCTTTTGTCATTTTCTTTTAGATTGCCTACCTCACAAGCTTTAATGAGATCAATTCCTTGGTGTGTTAGAATCAATTGTTACCAAAATATCATTGTAGTATTATCATTCATAGTTAAGATTAATAACATAGTTAACAGGTTGCATTATCTTCCACTTTGTCTTGTAGTCAAAATTATTTTGCCCTTGGTTTTCTGATATCTTTTATTTAAAATTAATTTAGTGCTCTCTCTGTTTTCATATCTTACCCTATCATTATCCTTCCTTTATCCTTCCTGCAGATTATTTATATGAATGTTATCAGTAAAAGTGCTAGATTTTTTTGCTTTTCATTGAATCATTATAAATAATGATACATTATATTGTTTCAGTATAGTGATGTTTACGGATTATTTGAGATGATTAACATTCTATTATTTAGAAAATTTAGAGTGTTGAGTATAAAGAAGTGATCTATCATTATTAATTTACAAGCATAAAATTAATTAACTTTTTCATTCTCATTTGAATATAACATTGAAAAAGACTTGCTCTGAATTTCATTGCATTTTTATATGGTAAAGATTTCAATCTTACACTGATTACTTAAAGTTTCCATTGCATTGTTTCTGTCTGTCTGTCTAAAACTTGTTAATAAAACGAGGAAATAGATAAAGGAAATTTAAAAAGGTTTAAAATACCAAAAATACTTTTAAAAAGGAAATTAAAAAAGAATTGTTAGGTTTTTTATTTCTTTTTTTTTTTATAATCTACCACTTTACAATGTGTGTAGACATTTAGGCCCCTTAGAAACCAAACTATAAGTTAATATACTTGCTATGCTGTGTGATGTTTGCATGTATGGAAACCATTCTTGCTTAAATTTGGTTAAACTAGTGTATGTGTGAGTGTATTAGTTTTACCATCACTGTGTATTCTCTAAGGACCAATCAGTTATCATCGGTACAACATTTTGTATCAATTTTCCTTTAAGTTGTTAATTGATGTAATTTTTTAAAAAGATTTTAGTCCATAATTCTTCCCATTATTGTGTTGCAACTATTTCTTTGAAATTTTGCATCCATTTTATCATATAATTTATTTGTTCTGTCTTGCATCATAAATAAAGTTTATATATGGGCCCTAATACATAGTGTTGGTTTTGTGTGAACATTTCAAATTCTTTTTTCTTAATATCCTTCTTTCTTTCTTGACATCTGATTTTATCCTTCCTGCAATTTGTAAATACATCGCCCATGATTTATTCCAGCCTTCATTAAATAATCCTTTTCAGTAAATTTGCAGAATA